ACCCACACTGAACAAACGAAAACACCCCCCACCCACACTGAACAAACAACCCCACACATGTTTTCTGAATGAGGCCCAAAGTTATTTGTCAAGTGCCAAAAAATAAATACAGGAAGAAGAAAAAGATGCAGAAGTTGAAGGAAGTTTGGTGGCGAAAGACAGTGAGAGTGGGAGTGAGTAATGAGATTTGAGAGATTTGTGTTATTTCGCTTGTTTGGATTTTATAATTAGTGTGTAGTGTAGTGTGTTTATTGTTTAATTGAGTCAACTTTAGTGTGTTTGAGTCAAAACAATGAGGCGATCTTTGAACGTGATGCTTCAGTTTCTCTTTGAAGTGGGGGATGGAGATGCGAACCCAGAAATGGATGAAGCCATGGAGACAGAACCTCTACAGACAGAGGAGGCAGGGATGGAAAAGATAAACAGTCCGAGACAGAGTGAGGACTTTGACAAGGAAGTGATCCATTATTTGTTTTAGAAGAGAAAAGAGAAGAGCACATCAAACCAAGTACACAAGTGTGAATACACACTCCTGCCTGTATTTTTTTTTTCATTTACCCTTTATTTATACAGGTAGACTCATTGAGTCAAAAGAACTCATTTTCAAGAGAGACCTGTTTTTGGGATCAGGTGGTGGGGGTTAGGGGCCTTGCTCAGTGGCTCAGAGTGGGGCAAATGAGGGTGGAGTCAGGTGTGGGTGTTTCACCTTTTCCACCCACATTTTTTTGATGTTGTCTGTACCGGGAGTTAAACCGGTGACTTTCTGATCACAGGCCCATCTTCTCTAACCTCTGTTCCACCACTCTCCCTCTCCGTGTACTTGATCCCTGGCATGACATCATCAGCTTTTGGTAATCATTGGTCATGTGCTTGAGTGTTTGTTTGACTAGTTTGTTTGTTTAATGGTTTTTTTTAACACTTCTGTGTCCCAAATGCAAAAAACATATAGCCGTTGCATTCTACGACAGTGATTATCCCTTAAGAGCACTTGGAACTATAATGGTGGGCATTGGACTTTAAGCAACACCTGTTATCTCTACTTCTTCTGAAAGAAATTTAATTTCATTTGATATTTAGTGTGTTTTTCAGTCAACAAAGACCCACCAGAAGGGCTTCTGAGGGAATGAAGAAGATCTGAGCCATGACTTCTTTATCGTAGAGACTCTTGTTGAATTCTGTCACATAGTACTGGGCTGTCATCTGTCTCTCCACGTCTTTCAGGTGGAACTGGACTCCCATTGGCTTCAAGTAATTTTTCCCCACATAACTACAGATATCATTAGGAAAACAAAATGAGACATTGGAACATTATACGCAAAGCAACAGCTACTCCATTTAGGAGTTATTTCAAGACCATCTCACCTGCTTAATCTCTCCTCCTGGTGCAAAAACTGGACCCATATTGCTTCTCTCTGATTGCCCTTCATCCCTGTTGACGCCCCAATGTAAACACATGTCTCCTTTGCCGTCCAGAGACCTGTGGCCTTGGAGAACTTTAAATGAAGAGCATCTAGGGGCAACAATGAGCAGGAGTTAGCAAGCTTTTGAAATGTTTTTATGATTTTATGATGATCTATTTTTCAGTCAGGATTATTGATTAATGCTAAACCAGTTATTATGAAATTTTTGAATCGCTGTCCCTCAGTCTTTCTCATCCAAAATGGAAATAAAAAAAGCCACTTTTACTAGTTGTTATATTTCGTCCACCAGGCGCTTACTCTCAGTTTTTGTCTGAATTCTCAGAATTCTTAACTGACTTACTTTTAAATACTGATAAAGTCACAATAATGGGTGATTTGAATATTCATGCAGATGTTGAAAGTGATAGCTTAAGCATAGCTTTTAATAATTTATTAGAGTCAGTTGGTTTTACCCAAAATGTCCGCACATCTGCTCATTCACATCATCACACTCTTGACTTAGTTCTGACCTATGGCATAAAGATTAAGGACTTAGTAATAGTTCCTCAAAATCCTGTTGTGTCCAACCATTTTTAATAACCTTTGAGTTTACATTAAATGACTACACAGTCACTGAGAGTAAATTTCATCTCAGCAGGTGCTTATCAGAAAATGCAGTAACCAAATTTAAACAATCTCTTCCATCAATGTTTTCCTCTGTCTTGCAGCGTAATGCATCAGAGAACAGTGACTTAGATCATCTAGTTGACAATTTTACAACTACTTTGCAAACTTCACTTGATAAAATTGCTCCGCTGAAAAAGAAAGTAATCAATCAGAGGAAACTGGCTCCTTGGTTCAGTTCTGAGTTACATACTTTAAGAGTCAGAGTCTCAGAGTCAGAGTATTTAAAGCAGGCATCTATAAATCAGGAGAGAAAATGGCGCTCCACTAACATCGAAAATTTTTATTTAACTTGGAAAGATAGTCTGCTATCATATAAGAAAGCTCTCCGTAAAGCTAGAACTTTATATTACTCATCTTTAATAGAGGAGAATAAAAATAACCCTAGGTTTATGTTCAGTACTGTAGCTAGACTAATTAAAAGTCCCATTTCTGTTGAACCATGTATCCCTACAACTATAAGTAGTGAAGACTTCATGAGATTCTTTATAAATAAAATTATTTCAATTAGAGAGAAAATTCAAACCTTCCTTCCTTCTACTACCCCCTGTCCACTGTCAGATGATGTAGCTTTAGACATATTGCTGGAACCTGATTTGTGTTTGTACTGTTTTTGTCCTGTTGAGCTCTCTGAATTGTCAAAAATAATAGCTTCATCCAAACCATCCACATGCCTGCTAGATCCCATCCCAACCAGACTGTTTAAAGAGGTATTTCCCCTAATTACAGTCCACATTTTGGATCTACTTAATTTGTCTTTAATGAATGGTTACTTAACACAGCACTTTAAGGTTGCTGTAATTAAACCTTTACTTAAGAAGTCTGACCTTGATTCAGAAATTCAGGCCAACTATAGACCTATATCTAATCTAACTTTCATCTAAAAAAAATTCTAGAGAAAATAGTTGCAGGGCAATTGTGTGAGCATCTACAAAGAAATAATCTGTTTGAAGAGTTTCAGTAAGGGTTTAGAGCTTATCATAGCACAGAAACAGCACTAATAAAAGTCACTAATGATATTCTCATGGCCTCAGACAATGGACTTGTCTACTTCTAACCTACAAAGCTCTCATCAACCTAGCTATATCTTATATGACAGGTCTTATTGTTCCATATTTTCCTAACAGAGCAATTCGCTCTCAGACTGCAAGTTTACTCACGGTTCCAAGAGTTTCCAAAAACAGAAAGGAAGGCAGATCTTTTAGTTATCAGGCTCCTCTCTTGTGGAACCAACTTCCAATTTCTGTCTGTGAGGCTAACACATTATCCAGTTTTAAAACTAGGCTTAAGACTTTCCTTTTTGCTAAATCCTATAGTTAGGGTCAGCTTGGGTTTCCTGAGCTATCCCTTAGTTATGCTGCTATAGGCTTAGACTGCTGGAGGACAAACTGATCACATTTCTTCACTATGCTACTGTCTTTCTTACTCTGCCAACCTGGTTGTATTTGTAATAATTTTTTCTATCCTTAACATGTGTTTTTGTCTTTCAGGTACACCTGCATCTATATCTGGAACTGCCATTATGTATTCGTTTGTCTCTCCTTTCTGTCCTCTCAAACCCAGCCGGCCGAAGCAGATGGCCGCTTGTCCTGAGCCTGGTTCTGCTGGAGGTTTCCTCTTTTTAAAAGGGAGTTTTTCCTTTCCACTGTTGCCATTGTGCTTGCTCAGAATGGGAGACTACAACAAAGTGAAGATTCAATGTGTCTGCTGGCTGGCTTCCTTAAATAGAGAAATAGAGAACTTTACTATTTAGCTTTTCTATGTATATGAATGTTTCTGTAAAGTGCCCTGAGACAACTTTGTTGTGATTTGGCACTATATAAATACACTGAATTGAATTGAAATGAAATTGACTGCTGCCAAATTGGAAAGTAGTCAATAATGGGTTTACCCTTGTGAGTGTTTGTGCTGAAGGAATGCTAAGGTTTTAGTTATATCTGTCAACTAGGATGAATTTGCATACAAAAAACAGCAGGGCTCATTCTCTGGGGATCATCAGCTCTTACTACTATTGTAGCTTCATGGATTAACTATTGACAAAAATAAATTTTAGCCACTGAACAACAACTTACCATGGGCAGCTTTGTTGCAGTTGAGTTCAAACTGAATCTTGTCGCTGTAAAACCTCGTCAGTAGGCATTCTTGGCAAACACCGGCCATCAGAGCTTGATAATCTTGCTTGGACAACAAAAACTGTTTGACAGAACCAACAGCAGCTGCTGTGTTGTGGTTAAGGCAGATGTAGCACAGAGGATTCCTCCTCTCAGGTGCATTCTCTGTAGAAGTTGGTTCATTGAGCTGGGGGCCATTTTGATCCACCTCCAGTAACTCAAATGAATTGTCAGTGGAGCTCTCTGTGAGTTCACACTGGTCCAAGACAGACAGAGAACATTTGTTTTGGACTGCTGAAGACCTGGTGGTTGCAGGTTTTACAGGTTTTGGATCAAATTCTGTCTCCATGTTTGAGTAAATATTGCCGCTTTCCTGAGGTTGTGGCATGGATAAGGCACTGACTTTGCACAGATTTTTCTTTTTGTCAGTGGTGAAATCAGAATCAACTGTTTCCGTAATAAAGAAGTTCTCGTTTGAATTTGGTGATTTGCTGATTCTGCCCATTCCAGGTCTTGACAGATGACTTGGTTGTGGTTTTCCACATGTGGGAGAGTTCTCACCAGCTGAGATCTTTTCCCATGACGAATGAGAACCAAAACTGTCACCGAGGGAGCTGGATGATGTTTTGAGATTCAGTTTGGAAAGAGAATCCCAAATTCCTTCAGTTTCTTGTTTCTGTGCGACAACATCAGCCATCCAGTCCCCCTCAGTGTCCACTGTCTCGTTTACAGCTTGTTCCTCTTCAAACTTTTCTAATTCATTCAAATCTTTGGAAGAAAAATTGGAGGATACTGTAAACCTTGGACCAGCGAGGGAACTGACACCAGAATCTTGTCCATGCTGCCTTCCTTTCATGTTATCTGCTAATATGTTGTCATCACATTCGGTGGCAATACAGCTCTGATTACTCATGTTTTCTCCGTGTCCGTGGGGCCGAGGAAAACCTGAACTACTCATAGACAGTCTCTGCCACGAAGAGCCGAGCTGGTCTGAGCTTTCCATTGTGGGACACATGTCAAAGTCAGAAGGATGTCCACTGGATGGATTTGAGCCTTTCTGTTGAGGCTGATATACTTCAGCTCTACATTCTGTGTTGAGCGTCTCAATGGTTGTCCCCAAAGCTGTTAAACATAACTTCGCCCCATCTGTATCGTCTTTAGTCCCCCTACAACTTCTGGCAGTGGTCTTGCACAGGGACGCGTGGTATTTTTGAAATCTTTGCATTATCTTTGAGAATGCTGCCAGGGTGAAGTTTACAGAGGAGCCTTTGATATTTCTGTAGTTGTCTGGAATGAAAGATCCCTTCTCTGAATTGGGGAATGGAGCCACACCCAACAGAACCTTTACTTGTCCAACCAGACGCATGATCTCAGCACAGAGGTCTTCTTTGTCCTGAGTCATGGCACAGGAGTAATTGTAGAGGTTAGCTAAAGCTTTTTGACAAGCTTGAGCAGCCTTGGTCACAACCTCCTGAGGGGTGCCAAGCCATTTGTGTGTGACAGTGATAGAATAGGCCGCCTTGAGGAAAGTGTGAAGTTCCTGCTGGCTTGTGACCAGATCGCTGTCTGCTTTGGTGAGAAGGCCGATGGCAAAGGCCTCTCTAGCCTGTTGAAGAAAGGACACTCTTTGGGGAGGAGGGCATGCTAAAGAGAAACTGTATGAAAGCAGGCAGGTTCCCTGAGTTGTCTAAAGAAAAAACAAACAAGCATATGTCACGTAAATTGTTAACAATTTTGCTGTAGCAAGTCTAAATTATTACCAGAATAACATTTATTTTGATTTGTAGGAAGAGGAGTTTAAGGAGGAGGTGGAGGTTAAAGAATCTGGGCATCTTGTTTAGGAGTGATGGTAGGATGGAGCGAGAGGTGATCAACAGATTGAGGCCTCGTCCTCAGTAATGAATGTATTTCTTCGATCAGTCGTGGTGAAGAAAGAATTGAGTTGAAAGACAAAGCTCTCTATTTACTGGTCTGTCTTCGTTCCAGGCATCACTTGTGGTCATGAGGTTTGGATCATGACCGACAAAACAAGATCCCGAATATGTGTGAATGAAATGGGTGGCCGGGCTCAGCCTTAGAGATAGAGTGAGAAGCTCCGTCAACCATAGAGAGCTTGGAGTAGAGCTGCTGCTCCTTCACATTGAAAGGAGTAAGTTGAGGTGTTTCAGGCATGTTATTCTGTCATTCTGTGTTGTCTATTTCTCTTTCCTGTTCCTCTCAAACCCAGCCAGTGAAAGCAGATGTCCACTCATCCTGAGCCTGGTTCTGCTGAAGGTTTCTTCATGGTAAAGGGAGTTTTTCCTTTCCGCTGTTGCCTTTGTACTTGTTCAGAATGGGAGACTGTGATCAAGTGAAGATTCAGCACAATCTGTTGGCTTCCTTAGATAGAAAACTTTACTAATTGTTTTTTAGAATGTATAAGAATGTTTTTGTTCAGTACCCTTACAACTTCTGTTTTGACTTGGTTCTATATAAATACACTAAATTGAATTGAACTGATTAGGATGCCTCCTGGACGCTTCCCTTTAGAGGTCTTCCAGGTGTCTCCCACTGGTAGGAGGTTGCAGGGGAGACCTAGAACTCACTGGAGGGCTTGTGTATCTTCTCTGGCCTGGGAACACCTTGGCGTCCCCAAGGAGGAGCTGGAAAGTGTCACATAGGAGAGGGATGTCTGGGTTTCTCTCCTGTACCTGATGAATCCTCGACACGGCTATGGATAAGCGCTAGAAGATGGACATTTTTGCCTTTGGCTGTGTGCTTGTGTTCATTTGTTTGTTTGCAAAATATTTTATGAACCACTGATTAAATGTTAAAAATACAGCCAACATAGCTTAGAAATATTATGAGCTTATATGAGCTTAAGTTTATAGAAATAATATGAGCTTGTACTTTATAATTGTGCTATTTTTGGATGTAAGTGGGACCCTGTGTACACAATTTCGTTCCACCTCATGTACCACATGTGATGCGAATGACAATAAAGAAACTTGAACTTGAAAACACAAAAAATGACTATAATTCAGTGAACTTGACAGATATTTAGTTACAATATTATGTGGCAGTAGCTGACAGTTGTCCCCAACACATACTCTGAGAGCTTATGAATTGTTTAATACAGTATTGTGTGAGACTGCATATAAAACATTTTAAGATTTGATAAAAAATGGGTGCAAGTCTGTCTTTTTTTAACACATGACTTTAGTCTAAAACTCTGGTATTAAAGGCAGTGGGCGACATGCATTCCTTCATGCTAGGCCTTCATTTTACAAACAGCGAAAAATTACACTTTTCTGTGAATTCAGTTAAATCTGGTCGAAAGCTCCGCACTGCAGACCCTGAAGCAAAACTAGTCAATGGGACAGCTTCATCATCCGAAACAATTGAGACATTCAGATGAAGCCTGCAGAACCTCGCATGTGCTGCAGATAAACCACATCAGTGAGTCGCTTACAGAGGGAGACTTTGCAGCTGATTGGGTGATGCAGCAGCAGTGAGTGACCTCTTCACACACGCCACACTTTCCTCCTCTGTGATTTAAATAATTTAGAAGATGCAACCATCCAAAGTGCGTGTCTTCCTCACCAAATTTCATGACAGCAATTAGCCAGAAGACAAGTCACAAGACCTTTTCTGATCTCATAAAAAACAGATCACTGTACCAAACAGGTCAGTTATAACTTCAAAATGTATAATTTTTAACTAAATACTGTATTGATGTTTGTCTCTGTTATAAAACTACAAAATGTTTTTATAATTAAGGCATGATAATTCCTTTTAGCTGCTTGTTTCCTGTTGAAATACAAGTTTGATTAACCTAAATATTAATTACTGTACTTGTGTCCATAAAATGACTTTATTGATAAGTTAGTTAAGAAAAGTATTTTTGTTGGTTGTATATAAATCTAAACCAATAAATATAACTTGCTAAATAAAGATAAACAATGGCATTTAACACATTTTCACAAAATTATATTGATCACTTTCCACATCGAGCTATTGTATTGTTTCAGTGTAACATGGTTTAAGCGAAAAAGTTACTTAAACTAATTACTTACTGAATGAACAAATATATATATGTTTAACCAGCAAATGACTCTCAGCTACGACCACATCAAGTTTAAGCACAATATCTGTAAAACTGACAGTTATGTTTATTTTTGATTTTCTTTTTTAGGTCGTTTATTCAAGGTGTTTTGTTTTTGTGTGTTTAACAGTTTCATGTTGATTCCACAGTGAGTGATGCAAGAACTGGAACAACGTACCACGTTGGTCAGCACATACAGTGGAGTGTACTGACTGTACATCACAGACATTTTGGCTGCATGGGCGGCGGAAAGAATACGATCACTGCTGTTCCCAAGTAAAGACTGCTGAAAAACAAAACACACAAAGGTTATTCCTCAAACCCAGGACATATGTAAAAGAACAGAAGCTGTTTAAATCCAACAATACAAAGAGAAACAAGCAGTATGTTGATGTCCCCCATCGCTGAGGGATTTGAATAGTGAATATCAAAGTTCATGCTCAATAATCTAGGTAGAAAATTCAACAAAGTTCAGTCAGGTCATCTGGATGGTTTCTTTTTAGTTGAGATGTTTCGTCCTTCATCCAAAGGAGTTCATCAGTCCGAGGAGCCACAACAAACCGAGTCCCACAAGCAGCAAACCCACATAGTGGACCAACTAGTGGACCATAGTGGTTGGTCCACTATGTGGGTTTGCTGCTTATGGGACTTAGTTTGTTGTGGCTCCTCGGACTGACGAAGTCCTTTGGATGAAAAGTGAATGTTTGTGGTTTTTGAGATGAAGTGTTTTTCTGAACTGGAAAAGAACAGGTAACCCAAGTAAACCTTGAAGTGCATGTTTACCAAGTTTACCATTATACAAGGAGGGCACCCCACCCTGTCAACAGAAACAAGTGCCCTGCCTACCGTCACCCCCACAGCTCCAGCTCGAAAACTGACAGTTCAAACAGCGCACAACACAGACGTGTCTCCATCTCCAACCCCCCCCCCCCCCGATCAACAACTGCCAGCATTGACATAGCGCTAAGCTAGCTGCGTGCAATGCGTCTAAGAAGCTATGTCAATGGAGGTAGCGCGCCGTTTCCCTTACGCTGAGCTGTCAACCCCTGGGTTGAAGGGTATTTATTTCCAAATCCCCTTCTTTGCGCTGGGAAAGGGGGCAGAAATACTGTATGTAACTTACAAAATCAAAATCTGGATTGGTTCTAAAACGATAGAAGTCTTCATCATTCATAGACACTAATATGTTGGCCAGTAAACACAGTGAGGTTCCAATTCCCTGTAAAAAGACACAAACACAAAGAGAAACAAAGGTCAGTGTGTGTAAACAAGTGCCCAAATTTAAAGCAACAGTTTGGTCACTTTTGAAGTCATGTTCTGTCTGGTAGTTAATAATTAGTAACTTATCAGCCATGAAGTTTAGAGAAAAATAGCAGGTCTTCATCCAGACTAGGCTAATGGTTAGCTGTTTTACATAATTTTTCTAGTTTACAAAGCAAAATATCTTAAAATGTACAACAGTAATGTGAAAAAATGGTGCAATTACAAATATTAAACCTCTACACATTGTTAGTTTAGTTTGTTATCGTTGAACCAAACAAACATCCATGTTATACACACGTAGCACAAATACACATGTGGTAAGGTGGAGGTTGTTTGGTTGAGAAAACAGTAACAAACTACATAAATAGTTTATTGCAAAAGCTTAGAGGTTTACGATCAGCTAATGCAGCGGGTTTTTTTTTTAGTCTAAAAAAATGAACAAAAACAAGCCCCTGTGTGGCTAGCCTTTAGCCTAGCCTAAACAAAACTTTTCTCTGTAGTCCATACTCCATGACTGAGCTCACAACTGATAAGGTGCTAACTATTGATAACTTTTAGACAGAACATTACCTCAAAGATCTATCCCTTGAAATATACACAAGATGGCAGCTGTGATGACTATGTGTTCATTTTGCTCTGAAATACCTTTTTATCAGGTTGAGGAAGTGAGTAAAAGCCGACCAGAGAAGCCCAAATCAGCTCTGCTGCCTGAAGCCACAGGCCTGAAACAAAACAATTCTGTAAAAACAACAACAAAAGAAAAACATTTTTATGTAGTAAAAATTAACTTACCCAGCTTTTGCAATATCATTCCACGTACTTGAACACTAACAGCCTGCACAAGAGCCCTGTCGCTGTCAGACTGGTAGCTCCAACAACCTAGATGTCAAAGTGACGGAGTTTTTGTACAACTTGAAGTTACAATTTAAAGCAATACTTCAGATGTTTTTAAGTAAGTTTCTGTGGAAAGGTTATGAACAGTTATGAATATTGTACTTGTTGTAGACAGCTCTTTGATCAACCTCAGTTTTGAGAACCAGATTACTGTGACTGACTGGGTTAACAAGCTAACAGCTTTTCTGTGTGGGGCTAAAGCCCTAATGGTGATAAATAGCTAATGGAAGTTGCGAGGGAGTTTCTAAAATGTTTTTAAAAAGTTGCGATGGTTCTTAATTTCTTTGCATGAGTCGTGGGTCCTTGTTCTTACATTGCAAGTATTTTTTGTTACAATTTTTTAAGTATTTGCACACACATTTCCTCTAAGTTAGTCAGAATTGTTGCTGGAACCCTTTTCAAACCCTCCACAATGAGGCCTCATCCATACTTAACACATTTTTTTATGTCATTTCTAAAAAAATTCTTGGAAACAGCACGTTTTCTAAAAATATCCTCATCTACATGGAAACACCAAAGCTGACCCCACTACAATGATGTAGTAACCATGGCAGGCCTGTATGTGGTGCTGCAATGCTGCCAAAATAATACACCAAAAACAGGAAACGAGGCGTGAGCATATGCTTGAAGCCAGTGTTGCCAACTTGGCGACTTTGTTTTTCTTCCACAGTGTCCTTTTTAAGGTCACTTTGCCAGTCCCAAACACAGATAAAGGACGGCTGAATGTAAAGCTGCAATTTCACCCCACATAACAATTTTTTTTTTTTGTTTTGTTTGTTTATCTGTTAGGGACCAGGTACAGTGAAGATGTAGTAAAAATGCACTGTACCAGATTATCGCTTTCTAACTAATTTCCATCTGCAGTCCCTAAAATCAAACTGACTGTTAAATTTCACGTTATAACATTAAACAATAAGTGACAAAATTGATTTATGTGATGTGGGTGCTGGCAAAGTATTATTGTCATGAAACTAATTCATAAAGTTAATTTGAAACTTTTTCTCACCTTTTGTCCCTCCAACATTTATATATATATATCTTTCCGACAACTTAGGCCACATTTACATTTAAATGAACAAATATGGAGATTAGGCAATGACATAATCTAGCAACTTCTCTTAGGACAGCCATTAGCTACTTTCCTTACTGAGGAGTTGGCAACAGTGTTTGCAGCTTATAAATTGGGTAGGGGCTGGGGCGGGTGGCCTCAGCTGGTGACTAGCAACACCATGCTGCTAGCAGAGCCACACTGCTAACAGGACCATGCCACAAACAATACCATGCTGCTAACAGAACCACATTGCTAACTGGACCACATTGCTAACAGGATCATGCTGCCAACAGAACCACACTACTAACAGTACCATGCTGCTAACAGGATCACACTGCTAATGGTACCGTGCTGCTAACAGAACCTTACCTGCTAAAAGAACCACTCTGCTAACAGGACCATGCTGCTAATGGGCCCACACATCTAATGGTACCATACTGCTAACAGAACCTTACTGCTAAAAGAACCATTCTGCTAACAGGACCATGCTACTAACAGAACCACACTGCTAAAATAACCACTCTGCTAACAGGACCATGCTGCTAATGGGCCCACACAGCTAATGGTACCATACTGCTAACAGAACCTTACTGCTCAAAGAACCACTCTGCTAACCGAACCACACTGAGCGGACGCATGCGGCCAATGACCCAAACAGGTGAGATCACAAAGCAGACATGTGTCAGAGCTGTCCGCGTGTCTCAGTAATGCAGAAGAATGCAACAGAAATGGGGTTTAAATGTTTTTTACGGCCATGAAAGTACAAACACCTCTCAGCTCCGAATCTTCTGCCGCATTTATTCAGCTGCGCGTCCCCGACTGTTAATAACTAATTAAAAATGTCGGGTAGGTTTCCGAGTTCAGACCTGTAATTATTGTTAATTTGTCGGGTTGGGTGTTGTTCGGAAATTATGACTGCGAGCTGGGACCGGGTCGGGTCGGATTTTTTGGGACCGAATGCAACTCTACGATGGGCAGTAGGTTAGATTAGAGGTGGGGCTATGACATCATCGTTTTGAAGAATTTTCTTGAGTTTTGTCTGTCCATAAGAAAATGCGAGGGTAGCCTGGCAAGATCTTTCACTGTAGAACCAAAAAATATACTTTTGGAATCCTAAAATGCAGTTTCTGTGTGGCCACAAGGCTGAAATGATTATATATTTTTTGCACATTCACAAATACTTTGCCTGTTTGAATGGCTGTAAGTCAAAAGATTTGAGGAAAGTAGAACAAGTTTGTGACAAATTGCCAACTTATAAAACTAAATTGTGACTGACTGGAGACAATAACCAAAACTGGATGTTACAGGGGCCCATGTTCTCCAGCCAATTTAGGCTTCTTTTTCAACAGCTTCATCCTCCTGGCTCTGAAGTACGTAAAATTGACGTCTGATGACAAACATGACTGTTGGACAGAGGAGAGACCTGTATTTTGGTCGTCCAGATTTCTCAGTTGTCACACAACATTATTACACCCCTGTGGCACAAAATTCCTGCAATTGACAAGTAGTAGTCACAAGTAATAAGAACAAAACCTCAATTTTGTTGCGAGAATGCTTTGTGAATGTTGCAGGAAAGTCATGCAGCAGTGGTGCAATAGTTACACCTAGATGAATTTTGACTCAAATTTTGCTGGGAGTTAGTGCAATATTTGTGTGGCGTACACAAACAACTCAGCAAACCCACCCACACAGATCAGTATTTGCAGTTTGACTCCCATCACCCTTTGGAGCACAAGTTAGGAGACATCAGGACTCTGTACCACAGAGCAGACAGCGTCCCCACTAACTCAGGAGCCAGGCAGAAGGAGAAATCCTACACAAAACAGGCTCTAGAGCAATGTGGATATCCTAACTGGGCCTTCCTGAAAGCAGAGAAGAAACCCAAACAGGACTCCAGTCAGCCATCAGGTGAAAAGGAGGAACCCAGACCCAGACCAGTGGTCATTCCATATGTTGAGGGAGTATCAGAGAAACTGAGACGTTTATTCTCTAAACATAACATCCCAGTGGCTTTTAAACGGCAAAGACTGGTTCATCCCAAAGATCCAGTCCCCCGGCACAAACAGAGTAACGTTGTGTATGTTGTTCAGTGTCAGGAGGGTGATCAGTCTTACATCGGGGAAACTAAACAGCCACTGGCCAAAAGGATGGACCAGCACAGAAGAGCAACATCATCAGGCATGGATTCTGCGGTCTACACTCATCTCCAGGCCAGCGGTCACTCTTTCAGGGATGAAGATGTTCACATCCTGGACAGAGAGGAACGATGGTTTGAGAGAGGAGTAAAGGAGGCCATCTTTGTGAAAAGAAACCGTCCATCATTAAACAGGGGTGGAGGCCTCCGGGTTCAACTGTCCCCTCTTACAATGCTGTGATTGCTAGTATCACTCAGCCCTCTGTGAATAGTAAACAGCCATCAGTGTGCTAATGATCCATTGTTAGGCTGATGGTCCTTCTTGAGCATGTGATCAGCTGGTTTTGGTTGTCAGCAGCAAACTGGTTGATCCACTCTGAGAAGGTGCTATTTAAGAGACTGAGCTGAAAACAGCACCTCAGACTGAGGAAGTCTCGGACGAGAGACGAAACGTTTCTACATTTTTTGTTGTTTTGCTTTGTTTTGTTTTTTGAATGTCCAGAGGACCAGATTTAACTTTTTTAGATATTTCTACCTGGATTATTGAGCATGCATCAGGACATGCACAAACAAATTAGTTAAATGTGTTTCCAAGTGAAAGTTTGTACATTTTCATGTAATTTGTAATCATGGAAACATCACATTAATTATGTAATAATAAAAATAGCTAAATCTATTGCAGTACTTTAAGTAAGGGAGTTATTAAATGATAAAGCTCTGTACATGTTGTATAACACAATAATTGTTCCACATTTAATCTATTGTATTGATGTTTGGGGGAAAGCAGCAAAACAATTACAAATCCTATTTTTGTTTTACAGAAAAGAGCTGTAAGAATTATTACTAGAAAGCATTTCAGTCACACATCAAGTACTTTATTTTATCAGTTGAAGTTATTGAAGTTCCATGATTTGGTAGATTATAATATTTTATCAGTTATGTATAGGGCTCATAATAACACATTACCTTTAAATATCCAAATACATTTTGTTAAAAGAGAGAGCTGTTATCATCATAAGGGGATAAAGATTTAGATAAAGGGGAAGTTGGTTTGTTAAAAAAATATGAAATAGCGTAATGTGTATTTGTATGAATTGCTGCTCGAGAAGAAGTTATTTATTTTGTTTTTGTTATTTGAAGATTATTATTGTTTGAATTAATTTTTTTGGTTAAAAAGGGGCAGATATAAGATTTTGTCTTCTTTCTGCTGCCTTTCATTTTATTTGTGATTGTATTTCTTATTGTATATAGAATTGTTTTTTTTTTTTGTTTTAAAAATGAATAAACTTTATATTTAAAAAAAAAGAAATAAATAGTATCTCCAACATGTTGCTGAAGGTCACAGCCAGGTGAGGTCCTGGCTTAAAACTAAAATAACCTTGCCGGTTTAAAAAAAAAGTCTTAGTGGTTCATGCAATTACTATTAACATTTTTACACCGTCATATGACACAGTTATTTACATAGAATTTTGGGATTAATAGACACAAATACCAGCAGCAGCAGCTAGCTGTAGCTCTTCCAGTGCAAGATGAGACCATTTCAGCAGGAACAATTTCATTTAATTTCTCTACCAATATATCTCCAAACTGAGGCCAATCAAGAGGTAGAATGCTGTTTTTTTCATTACCTGGCCACAGAACCCTACCTGAAAAGATCTAAAATTAAGTTTAAATGCCAGTTAAAGGGTCTTTAAGTGAGAAACAAAGAATCTACCTGTTGTTCCGCAATTATTAATCAAACTGCTCAGGATGTATTCTGCCTTCTGAAGTTTTCCTGTGAGAAAGATGATGAATAGATGAAAATAAAGATATGAGTTTGCAGTAAAATGGTTCATGCGGTGTGAATGGTGACCTCAGAGAATGTGATTATCAGTTAGGCCTCACAATCAACCCCACCTGAGTTAAGATAGACCCGGGCTTGCCGGATGACCAACTGAGGGGCTATGGGGGTGTCTGGGTGCCGTCGGTGGAGCAGCTTGGTGATCTTTAGCAGCCGGCTGGATTCGTCGGTCCAGTAGATAAAGCGATCCACTAAGAAGACCACTGCCAGTGCGGACTGTGATTCCTGAGCCACGATGGATGCCTCCAGAAGAACCTTTCAGCACAGTTATGAGGACTAATGTAAAAAACGTAGCTCACGCATCAAACATTCGCGTCAGGGTGCTGTAAGCACATTACCAGGATTTGGTGAAGGTGCTTGCTGATGAGGTCACTGAGGTTGGTCTTGTCACTTTGACTGACTGACTTCTTATACTGCCACTTCTCTGGCACAAAGGGCCACTTCATCTCCACAGCTTCCTGCAGCAGAGAAGCAAGCTCTGCACACAGCGAGTCTGTGGGGAAGAAAAGTGGGATTTTCTAAATACAATTCCTAATGATGGGTGAACAGAGACACCTGGTCTATAATACATGCGGTCTAACGTGTTAATTAAATGCCAAGAAGGAATGACATTGGTAAACCTGAAATTCACCCTAAAGACAGACCGTGCTAAGCTCAGAGAAACTTATGCCCCTTTTCCATTAGTACCGGTACGGGCCGGTACAGCCCGGCTCTACTCTACTCGGTACGGTACAGGTTGTGTTTCCATTATGCTTTCAGTACCGGTTCCAGTGGGCGGGGTTCAAACTGACGCCACGGCTGGTGGCGCTGAGATGCAGAAACTGTTTTCAGTACAGGTTGAGAATTTATGTTATTTTGAAGTTGTGTGTATGTATGTATGCATGTATGTGTGTATGCATGTATACATGTGTATAAATATATATATATATATATATATATATATA